TTTAACAACTTAAAAAAGTAGCCATAAACCAACCAAACCAATATGACTTAAGTATTAAGTAAGAAGTATGAGAACACAAAAATGAAAATTTAAGAGCCACAAAACATTGACATGAACAATTTTTGTACAAATTTTAACTTTGTGCATTATTCCCCACATTTACATACATATGTACGTGCATAAGGTAAATCTGCTCTTTGTTGTTCTTACCATTTTTATTATTTTCTTTAAATTGTGTGTTTTTTTTGGTTGGCTTAATGTTTGTTGGTTAGTTAAATGAGTGAATGATCAGTTATTTGGTCTGCTGCCGGTTAAAATTTTTTTTTTTATATAAAACTATATCAGAAACAATCTAAAAGACACAACGGAAACGAAGCAGCGAAGAGGACAGCTGATGCTCATGCCATACACAAATTTTATATAATTTTTGTTTTTCCTGTTTTATGTTTTTCTTCTTTTCTATGTACTCTTGTTTTCTTTTTATACTTAGACACACACTTAATATATTTGTATAATCTTATATATGATTTATTAATATGTTCCAGGCTAATTAAAGACCATAAAGTTCTTATAAAAGTACACATCGTTTATTTGTGGTTTTTAATTTTTATTTTTTAATTGTTATGGTCAGGGATGCCATTGAATTCTAAAAAGTTAAAATATTTTAATTACAAATGATCAATTTCTTGGATTTTCGATTGAATTTTACCAAATACTCTAGTGATACTTTCAAAAGTCTGAAATGACTCAGGCGAAATCCCGAAAAAAAAAATTTCCAATTATAATTTCACGATTGTTTCATTTCATATAATGTATGTATTTAGTTTTCCTATTTATTAAATCCCGTCAATTCCGTTCGAACATTTTTTGCTTTAACTTTTGTGGTAATGCCAAGTGATATAATTAAGTCCGAATTTCTTAACGACATAACTGACAAAAGGGCAGAAACAATTTAATTTAAATTTGACATTTTTTTTTAGACTGGATTGGATTTCCTTCTCAACTTTGTGTTAGGATAATTTTTGATAGCTTAATAACCATAATGAGGACTGAGCGCCAACCCAATTATTAGGCTAACCGAAAAGCTTATTTAACTTCATCTTTAGAATGACGGCAGCTCATAAATGGAAAAATTGTAATAATTCAAAAATTTTATATTTTAAAATTTAAAATATCATTCAGTAACCCTTAATGACGTGAATTACATTAATATTTAAAGCAGAATAAAAGGGAAATAAAATCATACAAGACAAGTTAGTTTATTATTATAACACGAGCAGGTCAGCTTAAGTTGAGAGCACTCTTTGGAACTCAAAAACACAATAAAAAAAATTAAACAAATTTTATGAAAAATAAAAATGAGACAACAAACAAAAATGCCAAGATCAGATCAGACCTTAGCATATCCATATTTACATTATGTACATAATTATGTTATGAAAAACATAATCGTTGACTCAGAGAACAAACGTTTTAAGTTATATTTAATAAATTTTCAAGAAAGTAATTTTAAATTTAAAATTGGGCAAAACATAATTAATTTCTAAAATGAATCTTAAATTAAATTCAAATTTAAATACGGAAAAGTATTTTGAAGCGAATTTGATATATTTCTGCTCTAATATAAGAATAACATTTTGGGATCCTGATTTTAGTCCAATTTTCAAAATCAACTTCTGGTTTTCAAAATAAGTTCCATAAGTATTTATTTTAGTAATTATACTTTAAAGACCATGTCATATGCTTTTGCATATTATTACGAATTGAATGTGAATGGACGAATATTCAATCAAATTTGATTGAATATTCAATGAACGAAATTGAATGAACGAAATTGAATGAACGAATTTGAACGAGAGATATCTTATTATTAACTTCATAATTGCAGTAAAATTGTATTGCTACATGCTCTATCTCATTACCACAACTTACTCTCATTACAACAACTCATAAGCTATTAATAATGTATATTTATATACATACTGTTGCATATTAGCACCGTGTTACTGCAATTTCAGAAAAAATTTGTTAAATTTTCAGAAACAAATTTTATTCAAATTTTAGACTTGCATTGGTTTTAATCTACAAAATTTTCTATCAATACGCTTAACATATATGTGCTTTATATTTTTTGTATATAAATAAAAGCAGATTTTATACTTAGAGTATACCGAGATTTTTATCTTATACACACACATTTTTTCTTATATTATTTATAATTTTTTTTTTTCTTATTTAATTTTTGATTTAAAAAAGATAAGTGCAATGGCATTTTGTTAAAACAATAAAAGGGAGTGTTAATATGATAAATTTATGCTAATAGCTTGTTTTTTCTTTTTTGGTTGGAAAAGTTCAGAATTGAAAGTAGGTGCCTTACGTGAAATTATGCTTTCTATCGTACGTAATATAATAAAATCATATTATAGGCATAGGTAATTATAATAAAAAACCAATTTTGATTTTTTTTTCTTCATTTTTTTTTTTTTAGATATTTTAATAATAAAAATAATAATTGATATACTCGCATAGGTACGTTAGACAAAAATTATGTTCAGCGCGTTTATTATTGCGTTGTGATTATAAATGTAAAACGATTACGCATAAAAACGACATATAAAAAGATCAACCAACTAACAAACTAAAAGAGAAATGGTAAAAAACTTGGGTTAAAACAATGGTTTATAAAGTAGCACTTTTTCCTTGAACAAGTGAAAGTACTGCCTTTAATATAAATCTAGTACACAATTTAAATTTCATTCGTATACTAAATTACTTCAAATGATTGCATATATTTGCGGTACGATAAAAAAAAATTGAAGAGAGAACATAATTTAAGGGTTAATTGCATGAGTTAAGAAAAATAATTATATTTTTTAAAGACATGACATTTACCGTCAGTAATTTGTGGAAATTTGAAAAAGCATCTTCAGTATCGGAAATTCTAATTTTACAAATTTCGAAAGACGATAACTTGAGAGAGGATCCAAATAGAAATAAATTTTCTGCTAACAAAATAAACTATTTATTAGTATTTGAAAGGTTTTAAAACTTCAGATTCTTACAACTTATCGTACAGAAGAATAACGGTATTAAAAATTTACAAAAACGGATTTTAAATAACGATTAATTTTAACGCACATATTGTTTTTTAACGTTCTACTATGCTAAGTCCCGGTATAATTAAACCACCACTACTTTTCTACGTTTTCAGATTTTAAAAACTTTTGGTTTCGCTGCAGGGCTTTTAAATGGCTTTAACTTTTAGAAGAGGGGGGGGTCGATTGATAAGTAATTTTAGGCACAAGGACGGACGGATGGACGGACAACAATTCTTGTTGACAAAACTTCTACCCCTTTAAAGATAGATAAATGAGATAGAAGATAGAAGTTTTGTAAACAAACACAAGGACGGACAGACGGATGGTCTGACAGAGTAAAACTAATAAGTACTCTTTTCAAAATTTATTTTTGGAATAGTACTAAAAATAACGATTTAAATAGATTGATGGTTATAGATAAAAAAAAAAATAAAGAAAAAATTAAAAAGAATTGATATTCATAATATTTACTTAAAGGAATTGCTGGTTACCATGCTGTATGTACTCTAACGTGATGCGAGTACATGCATATGTATGAGCATGAATGTATTTTAAATATAGATTTACATATTATTTTTATAATGAATATTGTGCGTAACCCATAATATTAATTTGTATACATTCGTATATAAAATATTGCGTTTTCAAAAAGGAATTTCTCTTCATTCCGGATTTTGAAATTTTTTAATATAAAAATATTTTCATCATTTAATAATTACAATGTATAGCTTAAAATAATGTTAATGCATATAAAAATAATTAAAATCTATATATGTATGTATATACATACTACACTACATATAAAGAGTGTATAATAATTTATTTGTGGGATCAATAAATTTAAAACAAGGAGTAATTTAAAATTTTTTTAAATTTCAGGAATGCGAATGAATTTGGTGGCTCAATTCAATAATTTCAACTATTTGTTGTTTTTTTAAATGCCATGCAAGCAAATAATAGGCACACAAACTGTAACGAAGTGAAAAATGACTGCACTCTTTCATGATATACGATCAGTGACTTCAAAATTGTATTAATGATATAAAAATTCGGCAAATCCGAACTGTGAACACTCGCTTAATGGAGTTCAAATAAAAAATAATTATAAAATATTTGTTTCTCTAAAAAATTTTTGAAATAATTGTTAAAAGATTGAGCAAAATAGATTTTCAAAATCGAAAAATACTCAAATTCTTGTGGCTGAGACCTTATATTCTTTGGTAATGTGGACACACACATGGCCACTTTTTATATTAATTTTCCGGAAATAGATTGTTATACTTTAAGTTAGAATTTTGTGATTAGTTATTTCAATCAAAAATATAATTAATTTGTTTTTTACCAAAAAAACAGTATTGAATTGTAAGTGTTGAGGAAGAAGTCTTAAAATTTATAGCCAGTATAATTAAATGGTTTCTGCTACCAGTTTAAAAATTTTCCAAGAATTGGCTATATCCCATTGTAGTTAATAATTTTTAAAATATAAAAAAATATATTAGAATCTATAATACAATAAAAATAATTTTATTTAAACACACAATTTAAAATAAAAAAATCAACATAATTAAATTAGTGTATAAGTTCAACTCTAAAATCCTAAATTAGCAAGCATATTTTTAAAATCACATCTATATGGGTATCTACAAAATTGCAAATCTAGCCGCAACACAATTTTAATTTCTGTATTATTATGTGCCTGATAATAACTTAATTTAACATATTCATGTATTCATGAATAATTTTAATTCATCTTTTGCAAATAACCAATCGAATTACTATTTAACCATGAATTATGCATTGAACGTTGTTTACGATAACCAATTAATTCATTCATAAGCCAAAAACTACGTAAATCATCTTCATTATAATTATAAGTTCCATTATTAATTGTTGCAATATTATTCATATTTTCATTAAAAATTTTTTGTTTAACTGATGCCATTGTATTTAATGTTTTTAAATTATCAACATCATCATAATTTGGTGTTCTAAATATTTTAATATTTTCAATTGCATCTTTATCTGATGATGATATTAATAAATCAATTGGATGAAATGGATTATTACCATAGAATGCTTTATATTTTGATGATTTAACTAAATTAATTATTTGATACATTCCAACAGCACCACTCCATTGATAACCCAATAATACTAAAATAATACGAATAATATTATTATAATAAAATATGAATTTAAAAAGTTTAACAGTACAACTTACGAACTGTAAAACCCCCTATAATTGTTAAACCAATTAGAATACCTAAATTAACACTTTTCTTAATAATAAGCATTGCTGTTATATGAATAAATAATGCTCTTATTGTGAAAAAGCATTGTGTTATAATATATGGTATTAAAAACCATTTCTTGAGCTACAATATACAGTAAAAAAAAATATTTGATTAATTTTATAAGAAAGATAAAAAATTTATTTTAAAAATATTATACCTTATACGTTCCATAAATACAAAGTAAGCAAGCAATAATATGAATTGTTGAATCAATTATCATATGAATGATGAAAACATCTGAATCTGAAAGACAATAATTAAATAAAATTTTAGCCACTTTTTCTGTTAGTTTAAAAAGTAATAAAGTACTTAAATTAAATTGCAAAAGGAAAGAATTAATTTTAAAGATTTATGATAGTTGGAATCCTTTTACGACAAGATTAACATTGCTACTTACTTTGTTTCATAAAATTTGCAAAACTCTTCAAAAATAAATTATTATTCAATTCTGGATCTTTTTCAATTGTTCGAACAATTTCTGGAACCAATTTCTGACCATAAAACGCAAACGCCAACAGTTCAAGTAGTTTGAAAACCTAAAAATAATATTTGGGCTTTAGTAATGCTTCAAATCAGATACTATTTACAAATTAATTTTGCGATTGTAAAATTTGGTTTGACGCATTTATATTACATATTGTCAATTAAACATATAAAGTATTTATGTCAATTAATAAAGTGCAAATTATGGTCTCATTTATGGAAGATTTTTCATCTTCATTGTACCTATTGCAAATTCTTGTACACTCGAAACTGAATAGGGCAAATACGCAATTCCAAATCTTACAATTGCATTATTAATGTTTTATATAAATAATTTATATGATTATTATTTTGTTATTCTCATTCCATATATGTAGATTATTTTTTATACATTACTGTAGAAACCATTGCTGAAAATATGACACCTAAACGCACAGTACAGCAAAAACAAAAAGATTCCATCCAAACCATTTTTAAATTTCATTAAATTTATAATTCCAATTTAAGTTCTGAAAAGAGAATCAAAAAATTAAAAATATGTATACTAAACACACAATACGCAATAAATAAATAAGAATTTTTAATTCAATTATTCAAAATTTTTTAATTATTTTGTGTCAATTATGGCAAATCCAAACAGTTATTACAAAAAACGACAAACGACAGTAGCGCTCTTATTATTCTTAGTGTTAACTTTTTAAAACATTGCCTTATAAATAAAATCGAAAACTTTTCTAGTTGCTTTTTGTTTCATCTAATACACAAACCATTAAAAGTTTTCATTTGATTTGTAGCTAACTTCACTTCAAAGGCAATCAAATCTGTCAAAACAACATCAAATTTTTCTTGCGTAAATTTCATTGTAATTTTCCGTCTTCAAATTTTTTTTTCAAAATACAAAATTATTTGAAAATAAATAAAATCATAATTATTGTTAAAAATCTCATTTTAAAGTTTAACATTACAAAATAACGGTAAACATTTGAAAAATGGATATGTTACCAAATCATTCAAGATGGTTAGCTGAGGATGTGGTACAGTTAATAGAACTGGTAAGAAAGGATGAGGCCATTTATAATCCTCGGCATATGAATTATTTTTGTCGTCCTTATGTTGAAAATTTTTGGCGTGAAGTTGATATTAAACTAAATAAAAATCGTAAGTATTGAAATTTTTAATGTTAAAAATGAAAATCAAATTCTTTTATTCCTTATACTTACTATATGCAAATATGCTCATTATTTATGTAATTTGTAGCTGGAGCAAGCCTTGCAAAATGGACAAATTTAAGGATTTCATTTCGTAGAGAATATTCAATATATTTGGCTGAGAAAATACAACCATCATGGATATTTTTTGAAAAAATGTTATTTTTAAGTCCATATCTTCGAAAGTAAGAAATTTCTATTAGTCATTAGTATTCTATTAAATGATAGACAGATTCTTTTCAAAATTCATTATATTTGATATAATATCTTTAGAAATATTTATTTTAGAAAACGACCACAAATTGAAGGAATTGATCCACATAATATTCAAGAAGCACTAGAACAAATTAGTTCAATAACACGCGGTAATTATAAAAGTTTTGTTGAAAGTATTGAACGTTGTGGTGGTGGTTCAGCTACAGAATCTGTAACTGGTGATGATCATCATTCACCTGATACTGCTGATGATGATATCGTATGGGATGAAAATTCAATTAAAGAGGAATCTATTGAAGAAAATTCACCACCTGGTGAACGAGCTGTTGATGATTTAGAACATTATGATAATGATAATGTTGAAATATTATCAGAAAAATCATTGCCACCAAAATCACCAAAAGAGCACAGCACAAGTACATCACAAGAAGAAAGAAATTTATTAAAACGTAACCATCATCATCATCAATTAAATAATAATTTGGATGATGAAAATATAGAAATGAAAAGAATGCATTATAATAATGATATAAATTTAAGACATTATCCATCATTATTAACAATTAGAAATTTACAAATGAATAATGCAACAGAATCTACAAGACGTATGAGTAGTAGTACAACATCCGGTTGTAGTACAACAAATACAAATAATAACAACAATAATAATAATAACAATACAAATAATGCCGGTATACAAAATGGACGTATATGCCCAAGAATATTTGATCAACAAATTCATCCGATACCAAACAATGGTTTAAATATTGATAGAGAACGTATTGGTAATAATTGTTCTAGATCATCAGCATCATCTAGTCAAGGTGCATTAGATATGGCTGATAAAAAAATCGATGATATCAGTTTAAGATCAAATGGTAAAACATCAAATTCAGAAATTTGCATATGTAAGACTGATCCAGATGCAATGTTTTTAATGAGTTTATTACCAGATATACAAAGTTTATCACGTAAAGATCGTGGTAAATTGAAAATTGAAATACAAAAAGTTATACAAGATTTTTTGTATCCAGATTGAGTTAAACTCTAAAAAAATTTTAATGTAAAACTATACAAAAAACAAAAATAAGAAGATAAAATTAAAAATATTTAAAAAGAAAATTTAAAACAAATATAAAATGAAAATTACTTATATTAATCTAGTTTATAAATATATTATATTTTCCTTCAGAGGACGTAATGTACTTAAGGTACAATATATTTAGTAAAAACAAAAAAAAAAAACATAAAATGGCATATTATGCCTAAATTTTAAGTTTTTAATATTAGTTTATTTATATGATAATGGTTTTCTGTAATTATTACGAAAAACAAACAATGATTAAAATTTGGAAACGAAGATATTGGGTGATTTTATTCCATAATCTACATTATGGCGCATTGTAGTTTTTAAATTAAGTCTTAAGAATTAAATTACATATTATTATATTACTATATTATGAATATTGTATTGTATAGACAAAATATTTGCTTTTATTGTTATAGTATTTTAAATGTAATGGAAAAACAAAATTATAAAAAAAAAAATTTGAAATAAAAAATTGCATTTAAATTTTCTTGAAAAGTATTTAACCGTATTTTTTTTTTGTAATTACTTTTAATTAAACACAAGATTGTTAAATTTATTAAATTTTAGTAGCAAAGTAGAATATTTATTTAACACTATCACTCCCACATAATGTAGGTACTCTTTTAGACGCATCACATAAGATAATGCAAAAATTTTTATTATTTTTAGATAATTTCGTAAAATTAATATTCTATAAATCCTCAATATTTTTGAAAACCTCAATAATTAACTTTTAATTTAGAGCTAAATGAGTACCTTAATCCTCAAATATAGTGATTATTTTTCCACTATCCGAACATACACTGATAATCCTTTAAGAATTTTTACCTTTATTTTAAAATTTACTCTTTTCCGAAAGTGAACTTTTGTTACTTTACTGAAAGTTTGACTGCATTAATGTAGTATTTAACAGAAAAATATTGAAAAGAAATAGAAAAAGAATTTTTATGAAAATTAATGTATAGGTCTTGTACAATTAATTGATAAAGATCTCTTAATGAACACGCAATATGTATTCATTGTTCATTATAACAAAATTTTACCTTAATTTTGAAATTATTACGAACATTTTTTTCCATTAGGTAAAAAACAATTAACTGCAAGCAATTTAAAGGAACGTATGAATAGAGGAAAACCTATACGATAATTATTTTAAAAAATTTAGTAATTTAAATAATTTCAGCTAAATATACAGAAAGAAAATCTAAAATTTTTTAATTTAACATTTCTTTATTATAAAAAAGAGCCAAAATAAAAAAAAATATTTCTTGAATATCTTATTGAATGCTTATTATTACCATCTTTTAAACAAAATACTGTAAAGTTCTTAGATTTAATAATATTCCATAAATCTAAAAGAAAATTAATTTTCAAAAAGCGATGGATAAGCTGCTTTAAAATAGTGACTATTTAAATCTTTTGCTTCTTTTTGTACTTTTTCTTTTAATAATTTAATTTGATTTATATCAATATTTTCTGAGGAACATAATAATCTAATTTCCTCTAACAAATTTTTAAGTAATTCATCATCTTTTTCTGTTTTTAATAATTTATGTTCATCTTCGAATTCACCATAAAATTGTGTAGCTAATTTAACAGTTTTATTTGGGAATTCAGCTAATTTTGCTACATGAATACCAAAACTTTTTTCTGTTACACCTGGTTTTACCTCATATAAAAGTACAAAATCATCTTGATTAGCAACAGCTGCCATATGACAATTTTTTACAGTTGGTATATCCTTTGATATATCGGTAATTTCATGAAAATGTGTTGCAAATAATGTAAAACATTTAATTTCTTTAGCTAAATGTTCTGCTATTGACCAAGCTATACCACAACCTTCATATGTTGATGTACCTCTACCAAGTTCATCAATAATAACAAGAGATTTTTCAGTTGCTGAACGTATAATACCAGCTGTTTCAATCATTTCAACCATAAATGTACTTAAACCTTTAATAATATTATCACTAGCACCAACACGTCCTTGTATTGAATCAACCATTGATATTATAGCCTTATCGCATGGTACAAAAGCACCAACATGTGCCATTAATACAGCTGTACCAATTGAACGAATATATGTACTTTTTCCGCCCATATTAGGTCCAGTTATAATATACATAGTTGTTTCATCCTTATGAAATTCTACACTATTCGCTATAAAATTTGTATTCGCTTGTAATTCTAAACAAGGATGCCTAATATTTGTAAGCTCAAGGATACCTGAACCTTCTGGTAACATTTTTGGTTTAACATAAGTTTTAGGTGCCGAAACAGCTGATATAGCAAAACTTACTAAACAATCTATTTCAGCAACCGATTTGTTAAGATTATTTAAGGTTCCTATATAACCAATAGCTACTCGAATGACTTCATTAACAATAGCTTGTTGTTGATCAACATATTTTTCTTTTAACACTTTAAATTCTTCATCGTAATTTTGCAATTTTTCATTTGTGAAACGAACTCCCCCTTTAACACAATCCAAAATTTTATATCTCTTATCTTTTCGAATAGAACCCTCATCTTTTAACGTTATACGGAAATGATATCCCAAATGACTTATATATTCTAATTTAACTGTACCTTTACCATCTAGCTCAATATCATCATTAGCTCTTTTAAGCAATTTTTCCATTTTAGCATAAATCTCATCCATTTTAGTTTTAACTTCTAGTAAATCATCATCAAAAGAAGCCTTTACCAAATATTCACCTTTCGAAATCGTTTCAAAATCAACAACTTGTTCAACCATTTGCTTAAGTCCTTTTAAATCTTCCATTGTCGATTTCATGGGGTTAACAAGAACATTATTAATTGTAGAGTTTTCTAGCTCCATCAATGTTTTGATTATTTTTGGAGCTCTCATAATAACTTGGTATATCCTAAATACATCTTGCAATGTAGCTTTTTTCCTCAAAAGTTTTCGAGCAGCCATTTGTATATCAGGTAAACGTTTAAGATAATCATCATGCAGTTCGTTCAATGAATTTCTACTGTCTAGTAAGCATTCAACAATGTCATGACGATCCTTAAGTGTTGCTTCATTTCTTAGTGGTTGCTTAATCCATTGAGCCATTAAACGATGACCTTGTGGTGTACAACAATAATCTAAAACACCAAGAACACTTTGCCAATGATAAGCGGGACTTGATGGATTTGAACCAGGCTGTGGAAGAATATTTAAAGCTGCAATAGCTGCTGCATCTAATCTAACAAATCTGTTAAAATCCATTTGTTTTATTTCGTAATTTCCCACATTTCCAGCATCTTCTGTAAGTTTTAAATATTTCATAACTGCTCCTAGAGCGCTAACAGCTATGTTTAAAGACATTTCAGGAAGTGAATTTGCATCTTCAATCTGACCCTTTTTAAAACGCAACACATTATTTAAATCTTGCACAATATCGTCATTTTTAATGTTAAAATCATTCTTTTTACAACTTGTTACCAAAATCCTATTTCTTTCCATTAATTGTTTAATTTTTAAGAAATCTGCCTCCTCACTTGGTAAAATACATTCTTTTGGCCCCATTAAAACTGTTACTGCTTCCAATTCACCAAAATAATCATCATCTTGAAATTCCATCAATGATATTTGACAATCATTTTGTTCAACACAAGCCACACCAACTCGCCTAGACATACCATCTGTTTTTATTTGAACACCAATCACAGATGAACCTATATTAACTTCTTCATTTGAAAATAGTATATCATCGAATTGTGAGCAGTTTCCAGGCGACCCTTGATATTCCAGTTTCCAACTTTCTTGACCACCTTTACTCGTATATACTTCTACTCTAAAATTTTTTACTAATAGAATATCTCTTATGGCTGTTTCAAAACTACTTTTTGACAATGTTACATATAACAATGTTTCTTTATCTGTGGGACTCATATTTTTAACAATACCATTTGTTATTTTTGATACTAAATCGGAATCATCTTGCCCATGACATGTATAATATTCACCTCTTTCGAAAAATCGAACAGTCGTTGCTGGTTTTTCACCCAAAGATTTAAAAAACTTTATAAAATTTTTCTGAGAATTGACATCAAGATTCAGGGCATGAAATACATTTTGATTATCACCTTCTTCCATTTTTATAAAATTACAACTGAAAATGTTAATAAATATTGAACAGTATTGATATGAAAATCCAATTTATTCTTCGCTACACTGTGTTATGCTTGAAATTTAAGCATAAACACCAAAATATGAAATCTTTCCGCCTAAAAATAAGAAACGTCAGTCTGACTTTTCAACTTTTTGTTTTGAAAGATTACCAATAAACAATTCTACTACAAATTTGACATATCACAGCCTTCACATCCAAGAAGCTTCATTTTTCGGGCGTAACAAGAAAACATGACGCATTCATATTTTATAATAACCATACCAAACTTCTTGAAAGTATTCAGGATTAGTTACTTGCAAAAAGAAGCATGTTTTGTATGGAAATTGTGTAAAATTTAACTTATAAATTTAGATATTGAAATTTTGATATTTCTTTTCCAAAGAAAATATTTTAACCATCTACCGGGAAAAAACGAAATAGTATGTCTTTTCTGTAAGTCATTGCGACAAATAACTGAGTTTTGTTTTAATTGTAATTAGCATATCAGTTCTTTTGACAAATATTATTATTAACGTCGCGTTAGAAAGGTTCGGATCGGAGATAGTATTTAATAATTGTATCCTCGTTTCTCCTCGTTTGATAGTCTTGTGATTTTTTAAATTATGCTAGCACCGTATTATGACATTTTTAAAATTGATTTTTTTTTTATAACTGTCACTTTCATTTACTTTACCATGCGCATAGCGCACACAAAATATTTTTGGTGTTTACGAAAATTTAATTCATTAATTTTAAATTAAATTTACATTATCATGTTGACCAAAAATTTTTTGTGTAACTTTTAAAATAGTATGTTAAATCTAATTTTGCGGAAAGGCACCAGCCTTAAAACAAATCACTTGTGGAACTATGAAATTAAACGAGTAAATATTTTGTTATCACTATAAGTCACTTGGTTGATTATATAAACATTGCTCAAATATAAAATCCATATTTTCAGCTATCGGGGAAAATTCCTTTAAAAACGGCAGTGAAAAATGAATATGCTGATGATTTTTCCAAGGACTTACAATCCATTGCTGTACCTGTTAGTGCTATACCAACAATAGACTCCACTCATAGGGCCGGTTTATCTGCTGTTGTTACCCAGAAAAAAGTTGATAGAACAAATTTCCCTTGGAATGTGACTCCGTCACAAGATGGCAAATTACTTAAAAAATATTTAAAACTGTCAAAATCCAGATTAACAAGTTAGATTTTAAGTTTAGTTTTATTTTGAATTCTACTCAAATTCTAAAATATATTTTAGCTTTAGTTGTTGTGACATCAATGGCTGGTTATGCTATGGCTCCGGCACCCTTCGATTGGGGAACATTTTTAATGTGTTCTATTGGAACTGGTTTAACTTCCGGTGCTGCAAATGCAATAAATCAATATCACGAAGTACCATTCGACTCCCAAATGTCGAGAACAAAAAATCGTGTATTGGTTACTGGACAATTAACACCAGCCCATGCGATAGGTTTTGCTTTGATTTCCGCAAGCACAGGTTTAAGTATACTATATCTGGGTTGCAACGGTATCACTGCAGCTCTAGGATTGGGGAATTTAATACTTTATACATCAATATACACGCCAATGAAACGTTTCAGTATTTTAAATACCTGGGTTGGTTCTGTAGTGGGTGCTATACCACCTTTAATGGGTTGGGCAGCTTGCGCTGGAGGATTAGATGCTGGTGCATGGATTTTAGCGGGATTATTGTATGCATGGCAATTTCCGCATTTCAATGCATTATCTTGGAATTTAAGACCAGATTATTCAAGAGCTGGTTATCGTATGATGGCTGTAACTAACCCAGCATTATGTCGACGTACTGCTTTAAGATATACATTAGGATTAGGTGCTTTATCTTTAGCAGCGCCGTATTTTGATGTAACAAACACATGGTTTGCTTTAGAATCACTGCCTTTAAATGCTTACTTTGCATATTTAGGTAAGTGACTAAAAACATTAACTTAAGTTCTACCAATGATATTTGCTTATTTTTATTTTAGCTTGGAAATTTTATAAAAAATCAGACAGTGGTACCTCACGAAAATTATTTAAATTCTCTTTATATCACTTACCAATCTTAATGGTTCTATTTTTATTTAACAAAAAACATTGGTTCCTTTTTGAAGATACCAGTCTACCATCAGTAGCTGCCCCAGGACTAATAGCAGCAATGGTTAATCCAATTTATGACATACAAAAAGCAAAAGCGAAAGAAATTGCAAATTATTATATATCTTCAGATGCTGTCCCTACAAATAGTCAATCATTTGTTACAGCAACTGCAGAATTAAATGGTGACAAATTACAAAATAATTCTATTTTAAATCCAAATTTGAAAGCGTCGTGATAATTTTTTATCCTAAGATATATTCTAAGTTTAGTTAAATTGAGTCCAACAAAAATATTACACTTGCACATAATATGTAAAGTGTTATTGCATTCAAAATAATTTATGAATTTTAGTTTGAATTAAATCTAAGTTAAAATCTATTTATGAAATTGTTAACTTTGAATATTCAGTGTTTTAAAATCATAAATTGTATTATAAATCCAAATATATATCAATGTTTATATATGTAAAGGTGTTGCATATATTCGCTTAAGACTTGCAATACAAGTGACTACATAGATAGCTAAATCACTTATTACTATTCTATGAAATGGTGTATGTACCTAATTGAAGGCTCGCAAAATTGTGTAAATACAAGTGATTATTATTATTTAAGCAGTACTTGCAATTAAAAATAATTTTTAATGCAAAGAGATGAAGTATATAATATGTATGTATTTATATTTGCATAATTGACAAAGACACTGCTGAAATATAAGATATTATAAATTACCAAAATTTTTATTTATAAAAAAGTTTATTAGAAACATATTTTTTAACAACAACACCCATGACACTACCAAAATATAAATGCACTTTAAGTGTTTATCACTTACTACAATGATGTGAAAATTTCGTTTTATCTGAAGTTCCAAAAATAGAAATTTAATCTTTAAATTTTTATCGCCTGTTATCATTTTACACAACGTTTACAACTTAGCTTTATTTTTTTCAACCAAAATATTAACAAATTTATGTGCTTCTTCATAATATGGTGTACACTGTTTTCTTACTCTATTTAACCATGCTTTTAGTTTTGGTCTGCCTTCTGTAGGATCATAATTAGCTAAAGCTGTTTGTTCAACTTCACAAGCACCGAAAATATCAGCAACAGTTAATGAATTTGAACACAAATAATCTGTATTTGCTAACCAAGTATTTTCCATAATATCCAATGATTTTTCCATATGGGCCTTAGAAAATGCGATTTCAGCTTCATTCGGTTCCATCCCTAGCAAAGCCGGCTCCAAAAACTTTTTACGAAAATACATACCACAACCTAATCTTGTATTTAAATGTTGCCATTCTAAATATTCATCTACTGATGCTCTTTGTTTAACTTCATTAGGATACAATGTATTAGAAATCCTATTTCCAGTTCGGCTTAAGTATCTCACAATTGCAACACTTTCAGATAATTTAAATCCATCTTTGTCAACAATGCATGGAACTTGTGGAAAACGAGAAACTTCATTTTTATATTTGTCACTCAAATGTTCACCTTTTCGTAAAGCAACTTTACAGTCTTCATAAGGAGTTTTACTTAATTTCAATAAAATATACAAAGCTCTTGATGGTTGAGACATCAAATCATAATAAAGTCTTAGATTTTTTGCCATTTTTATATTGAAAATTTAAAGTAAATTTGTAACTTGAATTATTTTCTACACCCTTATATTATATGGGATTTGAACTCTGAAGTTTAAAGTCCAATATCTAAATTGAATATTGTCACTTTCGGCTTTTTATTGTTGTGTTTTTAATTTTTTTATAAGTACGTTCAGTAATTGAATAAACAATCTGTTGATTGATCAAAAATCCGTATGATAAGTAAAAATGTTAAATGTCAATATGTTTAAGAGAAATTGACACATCCATAATTATTGTAATTGTCTGGATATGTATTACGCCATTAGGCTCTTGTTTAAAAAGTTAAAACTAATAAATTTTAAAAATTTAAAGTAATAATTACATATTTGATTAACAATTTGATTAACATTTATTTTCAAAAAATAAATTTCACTTTAAGAAATCTTAGAAGCATACTTTGTTTTTTATATTATGGAAATATAATTTAAGTAAATGACTTTCCTATAAGAGAAATGAATAAATAATTGCTGAATTCAATTTAATCCTGAATTGTTTTATAAAAATTAAATGCAATATTCAAGAATTATAAATCTTTAAAATTAACAAGTTAATTATTTTTATTAAAAACATGTACAAACAAAGAATTATTTAAGGATTTTATAATTTGCTTAGTTTTCTTTTTTTTAATTGCATTTGCAATGAGATTTCCTTCAATTTTAAGAAACTTTTTAATAAAATGTCAAATATTTTCTGAAACTATACTTGATCGATTACTTCTGAAAAAGTTATTTTGCATAAGTACTTTTGAGACTGTTATAATAAAATATTCAATATCGTTGCCAACTTTAGAAATTTATTTGACATTTTCCACATAAATTTGACATTTTTTAAGAAGTTTTTTTTTATTTTGATGCTGTCTTTTCTGAATTTAAGGACAGTCTGACATTTGGCTTATAAGAGTTTAGTCGTAAGATTTAAAAGGGAATTTAAAGTGTTTTTATTGTTAAAATTGTGCAAATTTTTTAATAAAACTTAAATTAATAATGCAAATTAATTAAGAAAAAAATATGAATTTTAATAAAGAAAACATGAATTCTTTCTTAGGATAATGTTTTTTTTAATTTTGTTTTTGTAATACTATTGTGTGCTATGGAAATTGTTTCAATATAGAAAAAAAAAACAATAAAAGAAAGTTTCTCCCAAATTCTAATTAGGGCAGAAAAAAAAAAGTTGTAGCTATAAAAAAAGAAAATAAAAGTAAAATTATACCATATTAATAAAGAATAATAGTTAAATTAATTAAAATATTAAAAAAACAATTTGAAAATGTCATTAAATTCGTAATATATGCTTTTGGTGATTTAAATGAATTCCAATTCAAAATAAATATTTACAAGTTGTTCTTATGTATTTTGAATAATATTTAGATGGTACTATTACCTGCGTGCAGTACAATGCATTAAATAGAGCCTTAGGTTAAATTAAAAAAATATAGAAAATAGAATACGCTCTCAAGGACGTTATTGGAATCCAAAATAAATCAATAAAAAATAAAAAAATTCTAATCAAGTACTCGTTTCAATTAAAATATCAATTAAAAGAGTTTCAATTTAATTTTTTTTTGTTCATTTTCTTTTAATTTTTAAGTAATATTATTCTTACATACAGAATAAATTTAAAAATAAAATAATAAATCTACCTATATGTAATTGCAAAATAATAATAAAAAATTTGTTAAAAAAAAACAACAATAACAAAAATTTTATCAATTATGACATTCATACAGAGCACAATATCCCGCCGGGCAAATCTTATTGGTATATGCGGTGTAAGTAGTCTATGTATATTGTTATTAATAGCAACACAACATAGACCACTTCCGGAGCCGCAATTTTCAACAGAAAATTATCGTTCATTTAATACAACTGTTACAATAAATGATATATTATTATATCAAAGAGCAAAAATTATACAAGAAATGGAAAATTTTGAATATCCAGCTGGTAGATTTGGTGTTGATGCTGAAAAATTATCTGATTTAATAATGGAAAATGATGGTTCACCAGTACGTTCAATAATTGTAACAACATGGAGATCTGGTTCAACATTTTTAGGTGATATATTAAATTCAATGCCCGGTAATTATTATCATTATGAACCATTATTAAATTTTGATATTAAACAAATTCGTGGTCCACCAGATGATGAGAAAGCAATAAATAATTTAAAAAATTTATTAAAATGTGATTATACTGATATGGAAGAATATTTAGAATATGGTAAAGAACATAAATATTTATTTGAACATAATGAACGTTTATGGACCCAATGTAAAGAATTTCCACAATTTTGTTGGAGACCAAAATTTTTAACACCATTTTGTAAATTATTTCCATTACAAAGTATGAAAATTGTTAGATTAAGATTATCATTAGCTGAAAAACTTTTAGAGGATGAAAGGTAAGATTTAATCTTGTATTTATTATGTATTAAATACTAAAAATAATATTCTTTTCAGCATTACTTGTATTTACTCAAGATTTGTTTTTACAAAATTAAAAAGTTTTTGGTTGCATTCTAATATTTACTCTAGTAGCCAGGCACACAAATACTTTCGATTTTGAGTGTGAAAAAGTAAAATTTTTAATTTGTTGCCTTAACTAATCCCTCTTAAATATTGTATTAATCCCTATCTGCCTACCTTCTTAAAACATAACCTTTTTATCAATTCTCTATAACTATGCACGTAAAATTTGCATTCTCAAAACTAAAATTCTTTTTGGTTAAATTACTTAAATATTGCGAATCAATTAGTTGCGTCAGGTATTAAATAGGTCAAAACTATAAGTAACTATCCAGTCAAAAAGGCAAAAACAATAAGTAACTAAGCAGTCAATGAAAAATAAAATTCTAATTGCTTTCATCTTTTAATGTTTCTTTAAAATTTTAAAGTATCAATTAAAAAATAAAAAAACTTTTGAAATAATTGAGATTTTTATTACTTAACTAAGTTGGGTACCTAGGTATTTCATTTTTAAATTGAATCTTTCCAAATTTTTATTTTTATCATTTTAAAATTTATTGCTTGCAATTAATGTATTTTCGAAATTACTCAACATACCTAACTAACCACAGTTTACTTCTCAGATATTAATCTATTATATTTCTATAAGCAAGTAGTATAATGACCGAGTTTTATTCTAAGATTTAAAGAAGCAATCAAAGAAGTTAAGCTTTTATAAATTATTGGACAAGAATTGATTTAGGTATTTAAATGCATTTCAGTATGCCCAGATAGAATCAAGAAAATTTTAATAGTTAAGTAAGTTACTTTAAAAACCAAATTCTTATGCAAATACCAAAATATTTTAGAAGTTTGCCCTCAAGTTCAAATTAAAAATTCAATAACTAATCGCAATAAAATATTTTTTTTTTTATTTCTCTTCTATCTTGGATTTCTCAACAGTAGTTAAGCTCTTTGAATAAGGGTCAAGATGTAAATTAATTTTTGTTTTGTTGCAATTGCTAACCTATAAAATTTTGAAAAATTACAAAAAATCATTTTTAAAAATTTTTAAAGTACTTAATAAAAAATTTTAATATTTAAATAATTTTTCATGTCAATAGGATTGTAAAAAAAATAATAAATACTAAATGATGGAAGTATTGACAGGGTGCACAAGATTCGATAGAACTTCATTCGATAAAACTTCAAATTGAGTATACAAAGTTTGGTTTGTTTGTCATATTTCCTGAGTTATTAATTTCAACTTTAAGGTTTCATAACTTGAGAAAGAAGGCCCATACAAAAAATTTAGTTAGGTGTTTTTCGTTCATCTAGAGGCATTCTATCACCTTATCGCGGGAATACTGTGCTTTTACTGTGTAATTCAATTTTCGTGAAACGATTTTCTTATTCGGAAAAATAGTAGGGTGATACCAAGATACAATCGATTTGTACGGTACTACTTTTACATTATCTACATACTTATATGAAAATCGAATTATATAGTAAGGCCTCTGTTCAATATTTGGCACCCTGTATTCATGATTTTCATTTAAAAAAATTGAAATTATAAACCTGATTTGTTAATCAACTAAATCAACTTGATTTGTAATTTTCTTGTTTACAATGCACTCACATATTGTATAAGTAAAAAGGTCAAATAAAATCATTTTTAATAATTAAATAATAGGTTAATAAAGTCTAATTTGCATATTATAATTTTGTTCTTGTTTGTAAAACGATTATTTAGTGATTAGGTTAGTGATTGTTGCATTTAAATGAAATAATTAAGAAAAGAGTTTATTCTTAAGAGTAGTTATTCTTAATCTGAGTTATTGCAAATATTTAAGGGTAAGGTATGCTTTATTGTGAAATATATCTTCTGTGTTAGAATACTAAGTAAGCATTTAAAATCACAGATTGTTTGTCTCTTCCTTCGGTGTCTTCAATTATTACAATTATTAAAATTCGGTGTCTACAATTTATATTTAGTATGTAATTGAGCATTTTGCAAAATTTTAAACTCTAGACTCCCAAATCATTTTAATTTCAACTAATAATGGTGTTTTTAATAAACCTGAACAGTCAACTGTTATCCCGATTGCAATGTTACTGCTTCGACATAAAAATTTTACAATAGAAATACCATAAAATTTAAATCTTGTTTAAATTTTCGAATATTTTCGTGAGTTTACGTGCACACACATTTAACTACTAGTTTTAAAGTTTTAGAATTCAAGGTTCTTTTCATTCTTATTGATATAAGCATAAAATAAACTAGAATTAATTTTTAATTTAAAACATGAATAACAAAATTAGATTTAAGTAAAAGCTTGTTTATTAATACAAGTAAGAATTTAGTTATTATTTAAATTTTTCTATGATTACAACTTATCAGATTTGTATGTCTTAAAAGTAGGCACTACGATTAAATTATTAATAATTAATACTAAAAAAAATAGAGTTATTAAAAATTAATTCCTTTGTACAGATAACCTTTCTTAATAACCAAAAATATGAAGCTGAATAAAATCTCGTAACACTAAATGGATATTTAGAGGAGAAAAGAAATTTGTGGATAGGGAAATTTTACCATTGCTGGGCGGGTAATTTCTAGTAATAACGATAAATATGTTACAGAAATTGAAATGAAAATCTTGATTACTATTAAATGTTAAGCAGCGCAATAATCTTCCAAGTAAATTCAATTATACTTATTTGATATTAATTTAATGCACACCTTCCTCCATATCAATCACTGAACAGAAGAGATGGTTAAACATAGTGCATAGAGCATTTGCTATCAAACTATTTAAAATGCTTAATACAATAATGAATTGCAAAACAAAATTTAGTAATTTTACGAAATATTCCTTAAATGACTATCTGGAAACCGCAACAAATTTGAATTTCCGATTATAATAAATTTTCAGTTGTTGGAATTAAAAATATAAATAATTCAAATAAATTAATATTTATACTTACTTACATAAAAAAAAAATGCTTATGGTACGAATGAGCCGGTCACTAGAATGTTGCGTTCTGTTAATTCTAGTTTTTTGGTATTTGATACTGGTATTAGTAAGGATATTCTTAGATCTAGACTTTTGTGTAATTTAAATTAAAGTAGTAATATTTTTCTCTTTTCTCTCTGGTAGTCGGTATTTTGTTAGCCTTTATGTTTTTTGTTGTTATTATTATTTTTAAGTTGTGCTCGTCATTTTATTTTACTTACCTTTTTTCTCTTCGCTCTTTTAATCCACATATTCTCTATTTCCCTCCCTTTCCTATAAATAATAATGCTGTTGCTAGGTAACAGATACTTTCTTAGTTTCGACTAAATGATGTTTTTCAATTGCGCCTTTTGGCGATATACTTTGAGCGTTTGAATTTCGAGATTTTGGAGAAACAATACTGATTTTTCGACAGTTGAATGCCGTTTATTAATTAGAAAGGTTCTATTAGAATTTCTATAATGATATGATTTTATTGAAATGAATTTCATTTTCGATACAAATGAATTGTAAATGATATGCCATTCCTCATTGTTATTGCAAATAATAAGGTACTTAATTAAAAATTAGTATGAACAAGTGCGTATAGTACTAAAGAGTGTGTCACGACATTAATTTGTATTTCAAATTTTCTCTCTTTACTAAACTTCACCACATTCGAATAAATGTGGTGATACAAACTCAACTATCATCACATTTACTCTATAATTAACAAACTAAATTAGATTTTCTTTATAATTTATTTTTTTAAATTGAACTGAGAATTTAATTATAAATTTTTAAAAATTTTATTTACTTATTATTGGTTTCATTAATAAAGAGAACAACTAAAAGTTGTTATAGAATAGGAAACAGTAAATTGGTGTTCAACACATTATGTTTTAAAAACCTTTTCTTAATTTTATTTACAATACCTTTAATTTAACCTTCTTTCATCAATTCACAATTAAATTAAAGTAAGTTTATGCTTTAATAATTTACCACAACAGAATTTCAATAATAAAAATAATCTTAAAAATTAATTTTTTTTTGACTTAATGAAGTTCAATGATTACAAAAAAAAAAACCTTCTTTTTCCTATTACCTTTTTCTTATTGATTGTCACGAGTAATACAGCAATATAAGTAAGATAAAATTTACCTGAGGTTTTATATGAGTATAACGGTTTTTATTGTATATTTAATACCGTTTATTCGTTCATTTAATTTAACCGCATGCCGTGTTTATTTTTTTTTTTCTTTCTACTTGTATAACAGGAAAATTCTACTATTACAATTATTTTATTTGTTGAATTTTTTTTAAATATTTTAACTAAATTTTCTAATTTCATTCTATAATTTTTATAATAAAATCTAAATAAATATTTTGATTTGATTTCATAGAAATTTTATTTTGTAAAAGTATAAAATGTTTATTTTAAAAAGAGAAGTAAATACTTAATTAGTGAAATTTATTAATAAGACATCATGTGTTATGGAAATAAACAATGAAAATTTCTACATAGAAATGAGAGAACAGATTGATGACGTAAGGGTCAGTGATTTGAGTAGAGTTTGGGTAGAAAAATTTTTCTATTTTGACTCGTTCTGTTGACTGCGTCATCCATCAGTTCTGCAAAGTTGTATGAGCGAATTTTCTTTGTTTATTTTACTTGTTTATAAGAAATTTTCGAAAAATACACGGGCAACTTAATTATAATATATAGCTTAAATTCTAGGAGGCTTACGGTACTTGCCCACAATTATGTACGATTTCAAGAAAATGTTGCTTACAACTGTTTACTAAAATGAGTTTAAAGAGCTTTTGTTAATATACTCTGGTAAACTACTTAGTTAGGTCTTGTTTGCTAGACTAGGTATAATAGTCTACGCGTCAAATTCAATGAAATTCTTTAGTTGTTTGGGAATAATTATTGCAATTTCTTAAGTCTTTTTTTTTAT